CCAGCAAGCTAATCAATGAAAATGAAACCAAATTGCCTACTGCCGATACCATCCAAGGGGAATGACCAGATCATTGTCCCTGGGGCAAAACGCATCAAGGTTATCAAGGGAAGAAACTGTTTCCCCTGAAAGGTAATGTGAATTGAAAAGGTGTTTTTCTAAAGGCATGTGGAACTTGGTATAGCGTGCAAAGAGAAAATAATTGTCTGAAAATTATTATTTAAGAATGTGTAGGACTTACTGTGGGATGTTTAGGGAAAGGACCAAAGGTGGGAAAAGGGAGGGATCAAGGTGGATCAGATTGGATAAGAATATGAAAACAGAGGGAAGAGAGCATTAAAAGGGCCAGTCAATACATGATATTGCCCTTCCAACTCCTAAACGTTCTGTAGGCCCACAGTTTCCCCCTGTTTCGTTCACCCACCCACTCTCACCTCATTCTAGGATCTAAGTGTATCTCATTCCCACTTACCCAATGTACTTCATTTTTCTCTTCCTTGCCATTGGTATTCCCCATCACCTTATTCTTTTAGCAGCTTGGTGTCAGAAAGGTGTAAGAAAATTATATGGAAGAGTTTTCTGGGAGGTACTTAGAAATAACTAAGCAAGGGTATTAAAACAGGGCTGAATAAAGCTGGGGAGTTGATGAGGAGGAGATTTCATGGCTCAGCTGCTGTGTTGTGATATGGAGTGCTCCAGGCCAGGTTGTGGTAATAGAGAAATGGTAATAAATTTTATTGCTGTTCCCTTGATAAGACTGTCTTGATGGCAGGTTCATGGCAGAATAGAGTCCATCCCAAACACTGGAGAATGTGAACAATTTATTGATAATTGTGTCAAGGAGAAAGCAGACCTGAAGTATTTATGTGACTGCAGGGACAAATCTGTCTCTGAATAGCTGAGTAAAAGTCCCATTGGTTTCACTGGGAAATTTGCCTCTGGAAGAACTAAATGGTGAGGATTAAATATTTGCAGTAGAATAGTGATATCAGAACAAGGACAAAACTGAAGTTCTTAAGAATTAGTAATGCACCATTTAATTCTGATTTCAGTTGGTTCCCTCTTTTGCATAAGTAAGGTTTAAGAGTGGGTTAGCTTCATTGTGTCTTACATTAGCATGATGTAGACTTTACCAGGAAGTAAAACAGCAATGTCTGTTGTTATTTGAAAATAACTCAGTTTCTATATGGATCATTATGAAAAGTGGAGCAATATCTATGACTTGTTTCCCAAGCTTCAGAAGCAGTCTGTTCCTCATCCATGATAAAATCATAGAGCTGCATCTCAAAGAATAATTCCTTCAAGTCGCTAAACCTCTTATAACCTTGCTGGTGTACATACATTTCAGTGGATTTTGAACAGGCTTCTTCAGAATGCCTCAAATAGTATTTCAGGATTGGAGAAGAGGTTGCAGCATAATAGGTTCTGCAGGTCAAATTCTGCACACACTTGAGCTCTTTGTATTTGTTCTTTCCATTTCCCTACTCCATGTAGAAAACCAACCCTCCCATCCCCTCTGTTTTGAGTATTCACTTCAGTTTTTTCAGACTCTTCCACCTGTCATTCAGTTGTCCTCCATTTTACCCATCTCCCTGATTAACAATTTCTGTTCCCTACGAACTTGATGATGTTCAGTAATCTCACTCAGTATCCTCCATTGACTTATTTTTCCCCTTTAACATTGGGCTCCTTTAATTTTTCCTTTCATAAGAAAATCTGAGTACTTGTAATGTCTCCTTTCTTCTTTTTTCCAGATCTCCTATTGTCCTGTTCCTTCCAATTCCATGTTGATGCCTCTTTGCACAGCTTCATAGTCCCAACCTGCCTCTGCCCCAGAATACTCTATTGTCTGTCATTAATTATCTGGGAATAAATAATTTAGGATGTTCATATCCTTGTGAATGTACTAAGTTGATTGCAAATTAGAAGTCACAAGAAAAAGTCATTATTTTAATTATGGGTAACATCAAACAATTTTTAGACTCCTAAATCATTACGGAGATGCTTGAGGAGCCTTGCAAATGGCTTATGTTTTTCCAATTCCATCTTCTTGTTTATTTTCTTTTTAAGGATTTTCTGTTAGAACATTTAGAACATTTTTGAATTAATGAGATGCACTGTTCAAAAATTATTCTGGTACATGCACAGGTACAGACAAGAGAGAAACGCAATTCCACATGACTGAAAAAAAAAGGCAGAGAAATAATTACAGATGGTTATGTGGCCAGTTAGAGATAGTTATGTGGCCATTCCTTAAGTCCAGCAATAAGATACTTCTCAGCATTACAAGTAATGGAGATATTCACATGGAAAATTCTTTTTCAGTAAAGGACATTAAAAAAACCAGTATAAGCATGTGTATAAAGACTGCACTTGACTGCAAACTACAAATTTGACTGTCCAGTTCAAAAAAACCCCACACTTGTCTCACTACTTATTAAATAGTGAGCCCAACGGATAAAATTTAAGGACTAAATACTTCTATCAGTAGCAGTGGTAGTATTCTACCAGTCCCACAGAGACTACACAGCTTTAACTAGGTCAAAGACATAGCATATTTATCCCAGCAATACACTTTCATGCTCTGAAGATGAAATATACATAAAAAGAAACAAAAAAAGACAAACCAACTATCTTCTGCTGCATCATCTTTATTGGAAGTAGCTGTGGTCTTTTTTATGTTTATAGAATTTTGTCCAGTGATTGGTTTTATATATTTTCATTTGAAAATATCTGAAAATTTATTATGCCTACTTAATAAATTAACCTCACTACACCCATTCAAATGTTACATTCAATCTACAGAAAAGGTCAAACGATGCATAAATTGAACCCTGATGCAACTGAATTCAATGAGACTTGTTTTAAGGAGTCCAAAGTCTCACCAAAAGGAATAATTTTGCCATCAACAACAGAGCATGCTGATAGGATCAAGAACTCCTGTCACTACCGAAAAAAATCAGTGGCATTGGTCAGCCATTGTCAGACACAGTGACTACAGCAGCTTACATTCTCTAGAGGTGGATTCAGCATGTTTTCAAAAACTGGTCTTTTTGTTTTGTTTTGTTCTTTTAAATTATTCATTTAATGTCATTTAAAGAAAATCAGCTTAAAAGAAAGCAGTTTGAATTTCAAAAATGGTTAACATAACATTTTATGTTATCGAGGGACAGTACTAGAAACCATGGATGTAGGAGAAAAGATGTGGAGACGTGAGATTATCTCTACAAATGAAACCACAAAGCCCACAGTCACGTAGAGGTCAGTCAGTTTTATACGGTTTTTGATGACAATTTCTAGAACACATTTTTGCCCACTGATTCATGGAAAACTAAGGACATGACCAATAAGTGAACCAATGAAATATTCTTGCTACTGAAATAGAATGAAGTAACCTAAGTCTTGACTTTTAGGAGCACTTGGAACGATGCATTTTAAGCTGGTTTCAGTTACACTGCCTCTTTACGCCATTCCTCTTCCCATCCTCCCTGCTGACATATGTGCATGACTGTCAGGTGAATCAGACTTGTGAATGGATCTGGCTGAATCATTCTTTTTTCTCCGTTACTTTTTGACTGGATCCAATGCCTTGGTCTGATGAACTTCACATCCCTAAAGACTTGCAGAACTGAGAACAGAGAAGAGTGGCCAAAGGGAAGGACAGCTTGCAGTAAATGCTGCTGTCAACAGGAATTTGCATTAAATCATAGCCAGCACAGCCCTGGCTTTAGCCTCCTGACCACTGACTGTTGGTATCACTTCTTGGGAATAGTATTCTGGATATGACTACCTCAAGTGAACTTGGCATAAAATTCCTCAAACCCCTTCAACAATTTATGAGTGTATCTCCAGAGTTTGAATTCTTTGTCTCTCACTTAAATATACTGGAGATACGTAACAACTGAAAGAAGTACTTTGCAGGCCTTGTAGAGGCATTGCAAAACCACTTCTGCTAGAGTGACAGATTCTGTTTTCTTCTTTCCTTTGGAGGCTCCAGGCTCTTCACCAGTATGGAGAGAATGGTTCTCCTTGACTGAGGCCATTTTTATTGTTCATATCAGCAGCTTTTCTAGAGTCTACTGTGCCTTTTTACCTTTATACACAGGATGTATATGACACAATGACAGATACAGCATACATTGAAGCATTTATTGATGCAGAGATTTATAGAAGTAATTAGTGTTATACAAATAAGTGCCTAAAATGTGCACACACGTTGATTTAATGTATTATAGTAGATATAGGCATATTAATACACTGAATTCTGAAATAGGTACATAAACATAAATTAAAAGATACATATGCATTTAGTTTAATTAGTGTTGAACTAAATCATGTCTGTTACAAAGGGAGAAATTAAATACTGTCAATGGCATTTTCTTCTGTAGCCTTTTATAAACCCTACATGACCCTCCTCCCTCACTGTTGTATCTGAATGCCTTAAAAGCTTGAAAATAGAATCATAGAATCACTTAGGTTGGAAAAGACCTTTAAGATCATCGAGTCTAACCACAAATCTAACACTGCCAAGCCCACCACTAAACCATGTCCCTAAGTGCCACATGTACGTATCTTTTAAATACCTTTAGGGATGGTGCCTCAACCACTTTCCTGGGCAGCCTGCAGACTGGGAAGTGAGTTACTCAGAAGTAGTTTACTAAAGACTTACAAAGCAGGGAAGAGGCTTGATAAGAGGTTTCACGTTCTGGCTATATGCATTCAGTGGTAGTTTCTAGAGAAATAGCTAGATGTGACACAGAAAACCCGGCTCCTACTTGAAACAATCAGTAGGGAAAAACATGCTTGAATGTTTGGATGTCATGTGTGATTTTCAGAATAGCTTTTGTAGGCTGTATGCAAATTTCAGCTGATAGAAGACACTTCTGTGTTTGTTCCTGGACAATGCTGGAGAGAAAAGTCTGAAGTGTGCTTAATGTCCCCAGCTGAACGGTGACCGTAAAAGGTCAGTTTGTATAGTATGTGATGATCTTGAAATGAACTGAATGAAATGAATAAAGTTATGCTAGCTTACACTACCTTCTGTAACAAGTGCATAGAGCTTATGACTTATAAAAGATTTGATTTAGCTCATTTATAGAAATGTAAATGCAAAGGCATTGAGAACCACATTTTTCCTGTTCTGTTAGAAATTTCTTAGACTAACATTGCAGACTAGCTTCCTGTATTTTAGAGTTTTTGCCTCTGTCATGCATTACTGGTTTGATACACAATGCCACTCATTTCACTCTATATTATACAGGCCACCATGTCCCCACTTATTTTTGCAGTGCTACATTATGTGCAAATAAGGCCAACTTTTAAGTTGCAATAATCAACTTGTAATAACCAGGGAAATGCAAAATGTAATATCCCTGTAGCTATTTAATTTGTTATTTATTCTCAGTGTAAAAGTCCACAAAGGTACAACAGAATCATTAGCACCATATATTAGGCATACATTGTTTTCCTGTTTGTTTTAATACCAGAGCCATTACCAATTACAATTCTCAGTCAGATGATTCCAGCAATAGGTGGCAGCAACAGTCCACATCGTAGTCAGCTCCTTCAGGGAGACTGGCAGAAATGTTCCTGATGATGGCTGAAAATAATTACTACTGAATAACATATTTTAAAACAGATACTAACAAATTAATTATTCATTTAAAAATTCAGCCAGACCAATGTAACATAAGGAAAGTGAGGTTTAATGAGCTTATTAAAGTTATTATGAAAATTTCTGCAAAAGCAAATGCATTTGGAAGCCATTTTACATGGAAATCTCACCAAATCAATGGCAAGGTTCAAATGTCTATTTTTAATGTTTTTCTTCTAGTCACACAATTGTGCTGGCCCTAGAGTAAACAGTAAAACACATTTACCTGACCTGAGTTATCCCACTGGAATAATTTGTGTGAATAAAGTTTAGCACGTGTCATGGGCTGCAGGATTAGGTCAAAAGCATGGAAAATTTCCAGCATCAAACACAAAAGAACGTGTTCATGGAATAAAAAATGGGAAATGTTTTATGGTTTCAAGTAAACAGAGACACACCTAGTCCTGCATAAGAGGGAGATCTGAGTTTAAAAACTCTTTTTTTAAACTGTGCCCAAGCCTCAGGATATATTTACCTTGTAAAGTTCCCTGCAATTCTGCTTGCCCAATTGTCTAAGTTCAAGACCTGGAGGGAATACACAGTTTCTGTCTGGCTCATGTGCCAAGGTCCCCATTCTGGAGACTGTAACATAGGATGCAGGTGATAAGGGGGAATGGTTTTTGTCCCATTATAATACTGAGATTTAACAAAGGAACACGTGAAGCAGAAAGCATTCCTGGGTTCTGTGCTGTAATAATTTTTTTACTTTGTGTGGTCATCTGGAGCAATGATTTATGTTTGTTTTTGCCTACAAAAGAATTAGGATTGAGACAATGAAACCCTTGGATTTTAGAAGCAGTGAGTCAGAAGAAAGAAATGATCAAATACCAAAACACAGATTAAAGTGTAAAATAAATGTTTCCATCTTCTGTCTTAGAAAAAGTCAAAATTGCATCAAGTATGCCATACTCCTGAAGTCAAAATGAAAAGTTAAAAAGAAACATCTATAGAAAATGTGAAAACAAGAGCTCATGAGTGAATATTTCATGGCCTTGAGCATATTTACATACATACATAGGAAATATTCATATTTGATCTACAGTCTGGAAGTCATGCTGGTTTGATTGGTTTGTGTGTTAGCTTCCCAACCACATCTAATCTTTCTTATCCTCTTCCTAAAACATGGGAGGAGCAGTATACATTTACAAAGCAGAACTACAATAGGAAGAAAAACTGCTATCATAAATGAAGGTGGTGTATACCAGATAAATTGGTTAACATCGACCCACTTATTCCAAGCAAACACCAGTGCGTGAACGGTGCATAGGAGCAAAGCTACATATCCCATCTTGCTCTGAAAAAGAGAAAGAAAACAGTAAGCTATTTATTTTTTCCCAACTTGGCAAAAAGAGTACTCTGCTAAGCAAGTATGGAAATCAGGAAGGGCTACAACCAACAACATGCAAGTTAAAGAAAAGAGACCATTGGCTTTGAACTAAAATGTAAGAACTATAATTCAAGAATCCAACTGTACCCCTCTATGCCACTGTAAAAGAAAATAGAGGAGGCCCATTTTTCAAGTATTGCTATGATATTTAGCTAATATACAGAGGAGATAACAGGCTATTCCTGAAAAAGGGTCAATTCTCAGTATTTCAATTTATAGATGTCATGTGTATCCTAAATTACTTTATTTTGGTGATAAATTATTCTGAGTTCAAAAGCAGATATATAAAGGGCTTAATTGATTTAAGCTAAATTAAAATCACAAACTACTAAGTCTAGTACTATGACACAAGCAATTGCACAGCTACAGGAAACTCAAGTCTTTCATTTCACATACAGTGATAAATTTGGCTTAGGTTGTCTACCAAATTCAGGAGTAAAGGAAATTTTAAGCTGGAGTTACTAGTAATTTTGAGTTTCTTGTCACTTAACAATCTTGTATTCATCAGTGAAGTCAAAAACTACTCACTGTACAGAATCTGATTTTCGAATATAAAAGTTATTTGTTTATAAAACAAGTCTAACACAGTAGGGTTACTCTTCTGGGTTTCTTCACCATAGTCTTTCAATACTGAAAGGAGTCGCGCATTTGAAAACTCCCTCCTCACCTGTCCATATTCTCCGTACACTAGAAAACTTCTCTTACAAATGATGGACTTCAAAGAGTGTGCAGAATATCAAATCTACTAATTGCAGACACTTCAGATCGACTTTTAAAATTTAAATCAAATTTCCAAATGCCAGGTACTTAGTAGGTTATTGTATTTTCAGGCTTTGGTGTTCAGGGGCCTAATTGAACACTTGCTTAACTCTAGTGTGATCATACTGATGTCAGCAGAAACACCCCTGATAATTACTGCATATGCTATAAGAGAATTAAGAGCAAACCTTGGATGAAGGAAACAAGCACAGCGGTAGCAAACTCAAGACTGGCTGGATTTGATTATGCATCTGTTCTAGGATGTCTCCTTTTCAGAATACACCCTGCTGTATGGGAACAACATTTACTGGTTTAATACTACCTAATCCCGATTCAGCAGGACACTGAAAGGGCATTCCTGAAAGATAAGATGCCTAGAATATTGTGGAAATACCTTCAGCACCAGAGCTAAGGAAAGGTCCTGGAGAGAAAATGCTGCTGGTCAGAAAGTCAAGAGGAGAGAAAAAAGTGGTTTGAGTTCTTTTCCATCCCATTTTATACCCTCAACACCACAGCCTGTTCTCCTGACAAAATAGCAAATGGAAAGAACATTTCTCACAAAGCTATTAACAAAGAGTACAGAACAAACTTTTAGATTCGTTTCACTAACTCCTCTGTGTTTGATATTTCTAACTCCTAATGGTCTTAGCTGATAACACACAGTTCTACAAATGGGGCTAAAGATGTGCAGTAATGACATGATGCGCACCTGAATGTAGTGGAACTCTCTCCAAGTCAAAGAGTGACTGACAGATGGAATTGATGTTATTGCCAACAAGGCCAGCAAAGCAAGTCCCAGAATTCCTAGAGACACATAAATCTCCATTCTCCAAACATCGTGTTCAATCCAGGCATTTTCTTTTTTTTGTTTGACCTGCCAAAGGAACACCATATTTAAAATTACAGACTGGCACACTTGGCCATTTGTGTGAAATACCATTTCACTATTTTCACCACAATATTCAGGAAATAAGCCAAGAAACACAGTATTTTGGTTTGTTTGAATGTCTCTGAATGTAACTGCTATATACTTCTGGTGACAAAGTCTCCAACAGTAACTGCAAAGCAAAGGTGAGCTTTAAGGGAGAGGAACTTAGACTTCATCAGAATCGTGGCCCAGGAGGGACTGCTTCTGAGGCCTGTTAACCTGCCTTCACAGAAGCATAAATCTTGTCTTCGACAAAAAACAATCCATCTATGGCTAAATACCATATCAGGGAGATTATAACAACAGGAAACATATTAACAGGACTATTTCAGGGAGCTAATTCAGCAGGCATTCTTAATGGTGGTATCCTGCCAGGGTAATTGCTTAGCTGTATTTTTTTAAAAAATACAACTTTGAACATTTGTGATTTCAATAAACTGATGTCAAAGCTTCTCCTCTTTATGACTACTTGCACCAGCCCTTTGATGCTGCTAGTGATCACCGTGGCATAATATGCTCCAAATATGGTAATTTCTGCATCTTGGAAACTGGAATCTCATGGAAGTATCTGGTAATCTCTTCAAGTCAGATTACCAGTAAGGCTGATTTCAGAGTTTTCAACAGTTAGTTTGACTGTTTACAGAATTCTTAAAAAGCTGCTAACATCATATTGTGCTTTTAATGAAACTCTAGATCAGACTTTGGGGGTAATAAAAACATGCATTTCTAGTCTATACCTTATATTGGAATATTCTTTATACTGCAATACTTATGATTAGTGAGGATTAGGAACTCTCTAGTCACAGAGAACATCAGAGAGTTTTTCAAGCCAGTTATTGCCCATGACTCAGAAGCATCACTGAAATTCTATTTTTTAACAAGGTAGTGTGGATCAGTTCAATTGTGAAGCAATCAGTGTTCACAAATTTAGTTTGTGGCAAATACAGATTACTGAGATTTAGCTCAGCCCTACTTCACTGCTGGTTTATTCACTTTGCAAAAAAGATGTCTAGAAATGGTGTGTTCAGTGGTCAGTTTTTGTTGGTAGATTCCATTGGTCCAGAGAAGATTAATCCACACTAAACTAATATGTGCCAAAGACTTAAATGTTCCTGTGAGGCAGTTATAACTTTGTGTATTTTACAGAGACAATAAAAAAAAACCAAATAAAGAAAATTACTTAATACACACTGGCATAGCTGTGATGACTCTTGACTCTCTATTACATGCTTTAATAACTAGGTCCTGCTCTGTCCCTTAACAGTGCTCTCTGGGGATCTACTTCAAAATCAAATAAGGCAATGAAAATGGCTTTTCCCCATTTGCTTGAATGACCCAAACAAGGATTTTCAGAATACAGAAGGGTTGGTGTTTGCGTGCCCATCGTACCTGCTGGAATGCCCAGTTCAGCAGCTTGTATCTGTATGATCTTCTCATTGGATAGCACAGGCTATAGCAGGCATGCATTGAAGCGAAGAAGAAACTGAGAAGTCCAAATTGTTTCCTTGATAACATCCATCTATCCAGCCACTGGGGAAATCTTTTATACTTGGTGCCAAAGTACAGCTGGAAACCAGCAGCTAATATTCCTGGTAAATATACTAGTGCTAAAAGGGTAATTGAAACCACTGGTAAAACTTTGTTTATGACAAGGATTGGAATTTTATAGAAAACATTTTCCTTTCTGGTTATAAAAGGATATATGACATCTCTCATAGAAGTATAAATAAATATTAATAATGAGACCACAGATGCTATCTTCATTGGCAAGTGCCACTTAGGGAACAGATCCTGCTTGCAGTGCTGTTCTGAAGAGTGTTCAAACTCACCAAAATGGTGTGCTTGATGTAAATCAAAAAGTGCAGCTGCTTCTGGTGGATTGGTGACTTGCATATCCACATTCTGGAAATGACAGAAAGCAAATACAAAATGAGTTCAAGAGAAGATTAAAAAATTCAGTAATGACAGTATTTGCCATCATGGCTTTTACACTGTACTGCACTGAAACCATATACAAAATATATGCACTATTTCAAACAGCATGGTCAGTACTTGAGCAAGGCACTTTTAGCATAGATTTCCCATTCTTCATTATCTGTGGTGATTCCAAAATAGATTTAATTCCAGGAAGTTAACTACACTGCAAGAGAAGGATTACATTACGATTACATTACGTGAAGCATTATTTCAGCTTCTTATGATATGAGTTAGGGATTTCAAATGTCAAATTTCAGCTACAGAATTAATGATGTAGCACAAATAATATGCACAGTAACAGCGTTCAGAGTCTAAAGATAATAAAATATTTCATTCTGTCATAGCTAATTTAATGACATTTAAATGGGGGAAAAGGATGCAATTGGAAATGTTTTGGATCCAGCATGTTAGACCAGTTGCACATCTGTCAACTCCAGCATTATGTCCTGTGGTCTTCTTCCTCTCCTTCACAAATGTAATAGTTTTCTCTTTGGTGAAACTTCGTGAAGCTGAGGCACTTCAGTTTAAAAAGCTGAATTTTCTGCTGCCAAGCAAGTATGGGTCACAGATCTTGGCACAATTATCACTGACTTTAGAAGAAGCAAAGCTAGTATAAAAAATTTAGTGTAATATTATAAACTGGTTTAAATTGAGATAATATATTTTAAAAATATCCCTTAGTTTTAGATACATGATCAGTATACACACAAAAAGAAAATCCATGTACCAACAGCAGGACACTGCACTTGATGCAACAGAGAGCCAACCATGGGCAGAGAACTCATATGTTAGGTAATAAACATGTAGGTCCTGTGAAACATAAAGTAAAACTGAACTAATGGTGCAATGGTTCAGTTTTAGAATGCCTGATGTGTCCAGATGTCCAGAAAGCAAAATGGCATTGTCTGTTTTAAGGAAATATTATCTGTGGGTACTACTTGTAAGTAAGGCAAGTAGGTGAAAGCCTCATGTTCATCTTCAATGACACAGAAGGGTTTTGTTTGAACATGAAAATAAAATATGTACACTGCTATCTTGCTGTAAAATCCTCATTAGAGACGATAGCCCCCCCACAACTCTGACTGTTTTACCTACAGTGCCTCATTGTAAAATTAAAAGGTATATAGTCTTTATGAGAATTTTTTAGCTGAATAGCCACTATGTGTTTATCTAATGATAAGAGCATATATTTGTAACAATGAATGAGTAGCCTATGTAACTTTTATTCTCTAGTCTGTGAAGAAGAGTGTAGACTATGCATTGCAGAACTGGAAGTTGGTATAAATTATACAAAATGAGATTCACATCTGAACCAAAGTTTTATCCAGAGACATCCCTATTTCTTGAAGAGATAGTTTGCAAAGCCTAATTCATTATTTCACAGCCTGTGAGGTAGTTCATGTTAGAACGGAAAGTTGTAGCTTGAACTAGTTCTGTGCATCTGCAGTTGCAGAGGCAAAGGATGCTGGAATGGATTTTTTTTCTGGACTTTTTTATGTGAGGTGGAAAACTTGCTGAATGCCATGTGGCAATCATGAAGGTTCCTCCAAAGATAGATTTTATATTCCTGTATAAAAATCCGAAATTATTTCTACAGAATTTGGCTCATCGGGTAAAATGCAATTAGCAGCAAACCTCATGTAGTTTTTAGCTGTCCCAAACTTTGTGTATTTTTTATCATGGACTGTGATTAAATTGAATGGGATATTCTTTATCTTTTTATCTCTTCATGTCAATATTGTGACAAGCCTTTAAAACTACTGATGATATGCCAGTGTGATGGGAGCACTGTCTCTGGACAAAATCAAATCAAAGACTGCAATATTCTATGTGACATATGAGCTGCTTTTTTACAGAAACATTACCAAGTAGTTAAGATTTCCTATATTTCTTCTTGGCATGATGTTCTGACTTGCATTCTGATCAATAGCACAATTACCACCTTCCCTCTTCGCCATTGTGGAAATTCCCTGCAAAACAAACACAGGTTTTGAAATGCCTTACTGGAATTTTAAGGCCTCTTTTCCCTCAAAATGTTTTCTTCCCTCTCCTCCACACATTTGCTGAAGAAGGTACAATAAACTAGGGATAGGAAAGTCTGTCCTCTGAGAAGAGGACGGAAAAGCTCAGCTTGTCTTCTGGGTTAAGCAGAGACTAAGAGAGAGCATGAATCAACAGAACACAATCACTGACAAAAAATAATACTTAAGCCTAATGTCCATGTCACCAATGGAATGAATTAATCAATTCAGGCTGCAAGTTTTTAAATTACAATAAATAATTTTGAAATGGCTTACAGAAATAACAGGTAAAACATTATGAAGATGGATTTTGGGAAGTTCGTGAGACTTGCTGATACAAGAAACCCTTGCAAATGTGTTGTTTCTAATATTTTTTAGGTTTAGGATTGGTCTACCTGACAGTCACTGTACAGCTTTAGAGGCATATTCTCCCCTCAGGATTGTCAAGAAACTCAGCTGGAGCTTCACTCATGCTGTTCCAAGGTATCCTCACCACCCACAGGTACCAGTAGAAATGGTTTTAAGCTATTAAGGACTACAAGAAATCAGACGCCAGGAAAAAAGAAAGGAAGAGAATGGATAAACTGAAAGAGATGTTTCTGAAAATCCTAGAATAGCAGGAAAGACAGTATCTTGAAGAGTGTGAAATAACTACAAGGACTGCAAGAACCCTGCAACAAGGACTTACCAGGCGTGCACCACACTGATGCACACTGCAGGAGGGGAGGCACTGGCACCACACCACTGGAAGCTCAGGGTGCCACACCAGAGAGTGATCTTCTGTTCCTACCTTTAAGACAATGACTAGGTAGCTCTTCCATGTACCTTCCTACTGAACAGCTGAATTACTAAACTGTTTTTCTGACTACTGATTCTTTTGTACCCATAAACCTTTTGGGAAATTATATGGACAAATCAGACTTTGACAATTATCCTTTTTACTGTGTCTGGTTCTTTCAGTAGATGAGTCTTACAGTCTTCTACTGTCTGCTATGAGGGTTTGTTCTCTTCCAGGTCACCAGGCACCTGAAGCTGAAGTATTCCTTTCCAAAGTATTGTTTTCCTAAGTATTTCTCTTTGGATTTTTCCCTCATGCTAGCAAGCTCTCACTTTGGGCATAACCTTTCAGACAAGTGTTGCAGAGTAGGGTCAACAAGAGCTTCTGTCTGAAGGTCAGGCTGTTAACCCTTTCCTACACCAGCTAATGGAGGGTTTGTATATCCTGCACACAAGAAAGCATGGACTGATGAAGGTGCATTTCTGTTTTTTCCTCCTATTTCGAGGGCTAGTCACAGTGATTTTATCACAAGTTTCGGTGTATCAGATATCTTCATAAAACCTCAGCTTCCGCAGCCCCATGATTAATTAAGAATTTCTACTTCTATATATTTCAATATACAGAATTTGTAGCTGTTACAATGACAAAGAATAATTTGCAAACAGAAATCAGTAGATGTACTTACCTGGAAAAAAAACCAATACAGTGAACTCCAGATATCTTTTTAAAGAACTCATAATATGAAGGGCAGTCACCCTGTTTTTGAGCCGTACCTTCTAGCTACCACACTCTCTTAGGGGTCCAAAAGCATAATTTAGATTGGGAAGCTCTGTATGGGAGAGCCTCATTCACCCAATTCTCATGCTGCCATTACTCTTCATTTAGAAAATTAAGAGTCCAGTAATGGCTTCTAGCTAAAGGTTTGTATTGATGGGGATAAAGTAAATGACAACACGATGTGAAAAAAAATAATCCGTGAGCTAGGCGGCCAGCTGCTGATCCCAAAAGCTGATTTATTGGTTCTTTTGGGATACAATGTTCAATACAATGTTAAATACAGCATTAATAGTTTATGCAGTGGAAGACGGAAAGAAAAAGAAAGTGTGTGCGAACGAATGCCTGTGGTCACCATGGAAATATGGGTTACAGCCATGCAAATGCATGCAAGGAAACACAGGTACCAAACCATGGTAGTCCACTTGGCTTCTGATACCAGTTAACACAAAATTATTTCCCAATAACAAAGCACACTAATAGTTTTGGAAAACCCTAAAAAAGTACTTATAATTCAGTGGAATTATAATTCAGTGGAATTCAGTGAAATAAATTGCCAGAAAGAAGTAATCTAGAGCATGCGTCTTTTTGGAATACATCTGAAAAAAAAATTAGGAGCGCTGTGAGAGACAAGAGGGTGATCAGTTATAGCCTCATCTAAGTCACAACTGTTATGAAAGAAAGCAGTTTTATTTATGTCCACTCTCAGTGCAGACCCCTTCTGCTCAGGGAGACAGCTGTCAGCGAGGATAGAGGACGTCCTGCTGCAGAAAACCAAGTTTCCAACGCTGTGAGCACGCTATTGCATTTTGTACCAATAAAACAGCCTCATTGTAACCCAGAACCAACAGCGATCCCCACTGTGCAGACATTACCACGAGAAAACATCATTCCGAGTCAAGGACAAGTTTTCCTGAGTAAGGGGTTTGAGGGCTGGCTCCACGAAAAAAAGAAAACAGGCTGTGATAATAAGGATGAGGCGATGGAAGAAGCACGGGACAGTGACTGCATCTCTCTCCCTTGGCACTATCGGGAAATGACAGCCTGAAAGTGCTGGGCATGACATGACTGTCTGGCTTCCCAAGTGCGCGCTGCATCGTGCAGGACGGTGTGAGCACTCGGCACGCGAGGCAATAACTTTCCCCGCTCTTCAGAAATTCTGCTGAGCTCGGTGGAAAACCGAGTAAAAGCCCGGAGGAAGGTGGGAGCCGCAGAGCGTCGCTCGGCGTTTCTCCTGGGCCAGAGTGCGCCGGGGGCACTGCCTCTCGGGGAGCCCGAGTCCGCCGGGGATGCCCGTTCCGTTCCGTCCCGTCCCGTTCCGTCCCGGCCGCGGGGCGGGCGGGGCCCGAGCCGGAACCCGCCGCGGCGGCAGCGCGGCCACGCGGGCGCACTCGGCCGCCTCCCCGGCGGCTCCGGGCACGGCCGCCCCCTCCCCGCCGCCCCGGGCTCACCCACCTCGGCCCCCGGCAGCCCGGCCTCTCCTTCCCGCCAGAGCTCCCGCCGTAGGGGGCGGCGGCAGCGGCGGCCCCGGCTCGGCTCCGTCCGTCGGGTCAGCGGTGCGGGGGCAGCGGTGCAGGCGGCGGTGCGGCTCGGGCGGCAAGGCGAGCCCTGGTCAGCAGCGGAGCGCCCGCCGCACTCTGAGGAGGGGAGCGGCAGGGGGGGTGCGGCCGCAGCCTCCACCTCCCCTCTCGGCCCCGCCCTCCGCGCCCATCCCGCTCCCCTCCGCGCCGGCGGGGTTCCGGCACTGTCCCGTCCGCCGTCCCGAGCTGCGCACCGGGGGACGGAGGAGCGGTGCGGCCTCGGGGTCTCCCTTCGGGCCCTGGCCACCCCAAGGAGCGCCCGCCCGTGGGTCCGCTGGGCCCTGGGCCGGACAAAGGGCACATTCACCTGCGCCCTCCCCGCCCCGCCGCAGGGAGGAGGAGGAAAAGGCGCCGGGGTGCGGTGCCTCCGCGGGCGCCCTTCATCTCCCCCAGCCCGACCTCTGCCGGCAGCCCCGCTGTCCCTGCGTGGGTGCACCGGACACGCCGGGGGACACAGGGCTGCCAGTCCTACCAGCGGCCCGCAGCCCTTCGCATCCCGGGAAACCTCTCCCTTCAGTGCGTTCTCCCTTCCCTGCCGGTTCGTCCAAGCGTGTCACTCTCCGAGCCTGACAAAATGCTCTATTGATTCCTCCTTCTTATACGATCAGTCCTCACTTTAATTTGTTTTTCCCCAAATACCATGATCTTTTACTTTTTTTTTTTTTCCTTCTCTGTGCTGGCGATTCTGAAAAGGCAGCTGTCTCCTGAAAGTTTAGTCATTCAATGGCATGAAGTGTCATTATCTTGTGAAATCTCTTAGTGGATATTTTGACATTTAGTGGCTTAGTGACATTGCAGAACACATGGCCAGTCTGTCTCAAGGATGTTTTCACGCAGAGCTCATTGTGTCCTCCTCAGGATTTCTTCACAAAAATGATGCCAAGTTCCGTGTCTTTGCATCTTGGGAATACATTTTTGTCTCCTTTTCAGTAGATGTTAAATGAACAGAGACTCCAGCTGAATGCTACATCTGGCAGAAAAGAGGAGATAGCCTTAGAAGAAATAGAAGACAGAATAATTATATCTCCTGTGTTAAAACAAAACCTTAACTTAAATTGTGTGTTGGGTTTTTTTAGTTGCCTTCATTAGCATATTTTTCTGTGTCTTTCATAAAGGCTATTTTCCACTTGCTTTCCATTAGTTACTTTTTTTTTTGCAAGGCTTGCTAACCTGTGTATACTCTCACTTTGTGAAAATGCCGTTTGATTTTCTTTCCTACTCCTGTTTTTGCACCGTCCTTTTGGGATTTCTCCCAGTTCCCGGAGTGTAGCATCATCAGGGTGACGCCTGGCGGTGGGAGCGCAGGGGAGGAGGCTGCCTGCGGCGACGTGTGCCAGCCCGTTCCTACACCCCGGCTAAAGGAGAATTTGTAGTGCAAAGGACTAAAAGCATTGTCATGTTCCTAATGAACTCCATGGTAATGCTCTCCTCAGAAGTTCTGGTGTAAGTTAGTGTTATGGGGACTAGATTTATAGACCAAAAGATAGCTCAAGATAGCTCAAGATAGAATATCCTTAAGATATCGTTAGCCTTTTCATAAAACACACAAGAGCTAAGATCCTGCATGAGCATTCTCAGATGAGATGAAAAGCCAGCCAAAGTGAACCTGACTATAAGTACCTAGTAAGCTGCTCTGCATAGATGCTTCTAGTACCTCTGGACAAGCAATCCCCTCTCTAGTCTCTGAGTACTATTAGGTGCCTATCTGTGAATAAAAATGGAAAGCTCATTCTGTGTGGCTGCTGATAATGTGGAAATAGATTCAAATGCTAGGGAAATCTTTCCTTTCATGGCTACCCTAAGGCATGACTTCCAGGTCATTCAAAGTACCACTTGTATTACAGTGGTTACTGGAAAGCAAACTGTGTGGCAGTCCTGCAGATCCTTACACCTAGATGATACTACTGCATGCTCACAGCTTTGAACTGATATTTATGCAAAGTGCTTTGCAAGAAGTGTGAAACTGAAGGTAGGAAACACCACAGGAATCAGGAGTTGACTCAAAGTGAGATAATTTCTCTTGGCACATGCAGAATGGGGATGATCTCATTGACAAAAATTTAAAACTGTGCAGATTTGACTAGCTCCAGACATTTAGAAGAGTGTCAGTATTATTTAACTATTGCAGGATTTGGGGGAGAAAGATTAAGACCTCTGTGGTTGCTGAAGCATGGTATTTTCCAGAGAAGAAAAATACTCTGATGACTCTAAGCCCATCTGTGTTTTATTCATTCTATATTCTGGACAGAGTTTGTGAGTGATGATAACAAAGGACGTGAGGAAATGGTAGATTGCATTTTCTGGAGGAACAAAATATTGCATCATTGACAAGATTTCCTGACAGTGGTTTAATCGTGATAACATTTTCACCACAGTTCTTATAGGAAGAAGTCTGTGGTTGGGACAATTTGTCTGCTTCTGCAACTGCTCTTTAGACTAGGAGCTCTGAGAACAACTTGCCAAGTGGCTGAAAAAGTGGTGCAGTCTTCCAGTAACACACAGACTTCCATATAATCATACTAACAGTCTTGCTCAGAACTTGTTGAGTAAGCTAAGTGTAACTATTACTGTCAGCAAGATGACTCTAGCATGCCCTTGAGTGACTCAGAAATGACGCTACATAGGGGGAACTGGTGTGGAAGGGTGGAAACCATTCCCTGTAATTTAACCAAATGAAAATGGGCTTGATTCAGCTGGATTGAAATGTTTAAACGGTGACTGGGTTTCCAGGATGGCACTTGAAGGGGTTCACTAGAGGGTTACCAAGGTGGTAAAGGGCTTACAGCACATGTTCCCCGGGGAGAGATGTGGAGGAGCTGAGCTTGTTTAGTCTGGTAAAGAGCAGACCAAGTGGTGGCATAGTATCAACCTTCAAACACTTAAAGGGAAGATACAAAGGTGAGGAAGCCCACTCCAGGGAGTGTAAAAACAGACAGGGACCACAAATTGTAGTTCAGATGTTCATATTGGATATTAGGGAAAATTTCTTCACTGAGAGGATAGTGAAAATCCTCATTGTGTCCATTACTTCTTGTCTTTTCCTTGGACTTCACTGAGAAGAGTCTGGCTCCATCTTCTTTACTCTCCTCCTCCCTCAGATAATCATACATAATGTTAACAACTTCCATGAGCCTTATGATCTCCAGGCTAAGTAGTTCCAGCTCTCTCAACCTCTCCTTGTAGAAGAAGTGCTTCAGTCCCTTAATCATCTCCATGGTGACCTGCACAGAAGCAATTTCAGTACATCAGTGTCTTGCTTGTACTGGGGAGCTCAGAACTGATGGGCCTCAGTTCAGAACTGATGAGCAGTGCAGATGGGTCTCAGAGGGGCTGAGGAAAGGGGAAAGACCACCTGCCTTGACCAGATAGAAATGTTCTTTCTAATGCAGTTTAGGACTTCTGGTATTGGCAGGGATCTTCCTTTGTGTGGGACAGTGAACACAAAATTTAACTGCACTAATGTTTTTGTCTATGAAAATATGTGAGATGACAGCAAGAAGACTCTTGCTCAAAATCCCCAAACCCAGCAGTCTTTGAAAAGGAATATTAAAAAGTATGTGCTACAAAGAACCATGTATGAATTTGGAAAATTATGAAAGAATTTGAAAACTAATTTTGAAATGCTCAGATATAACCTGATTTTGAAAATAACAGCATAAGGAACTGCAGTATTGAGTGCTAAATAGAATGCAACTGAGTTGGGAATGGAAGTGGCAAGTGCCCTTCATATTGTGAGTGGGAGTTACAGAGGCACTTGGCAGGGAGTGCTTGTCCCTCGTGGACTAAGGCCATTTGAGAACAGGGACACCAGACAACATATTTGGTCTACTGTCATTTAATAAGCTCCTTTATCCAAGGGAATATGTCAGAAAGAGATCAGATAAGCAGACAAGTGCTGTATTCCCTGCTGAATGAATGTGAAGTAAAGGACCAGCTGTTCTTAGTGAGTAACATTGTTAAAGTCAAACAAATTTCTTACTTGGCCTGGATTTATCACACAAATTCTGATTCGAAGAAGTGGCACTCAAGCTATTTGAAACAGTTGAATTCCCCTGGAGGATTTAAGTCGTTGCTGCCAAGTAACGGGAAGCTGAGGAAAATAAATACAGTGAAAAAACCCAGAGGCTCAAGATTGTTTGAAAGGGCTGTTCAATCTAGTCCAACATGTGTAAGAAAGAAAATTATATACTACTTCTCTTGAATTATAAGAAATTAATAAAGCCACGTGACACTCAAATCGGTTTTTTAACAGTGATACTTTTAGATATTGTTGAAAGTACAAGTAAAGACCACATGACTGCTTCAGTTAAAGTTCAATTAAATGAGTTGAAAAACAACTCCAAGTAGAGGAGACTAGCAGTATTTTATTTTCTCACTTCCTGTAAAAAAATTACATTCTGGATTTCAAGTATATAATTTATAGACAAATGCAGAAAGCACTTCCATTCCTAATTTGTCAAACTAACACCTTTCACAGTATTCCTTTCTCATAATGCATCTTGTTGCTTAGCATCAACACAGAAGACTTTGTTTTATATTTTATATTTATATTTTTTGTGTATAATCACATACTTTTAAAGTAATTCTTGCCCTTCCCATTGTGTTTGTCACTTTTGCTTACATAATATCTAAAATTATAATATCCCTTGAAGCAGCTATGGTACTTCTCTCTGGTGTTTTGGTGATTTCAGGATTTTTACCACACACATGTCACTAGAGTATAGAGCTGACTGCCTTAAAATACTTATAATAATGAAACCACTGATAATAAAAATAACAGCAATTTGTATACAGATTAATCAAAAAAAACCCCTCAATAGCCCTGCAGCACTTGAAGGCTGCGAGATGTAAAGGATACAGGAAAAGGAATGGACTCACAGGGGAAGGGTTACTGAGCAAAGACAGAATATT